TTGCACGCGCTTCTGTCTGCTGGCGTGGTGTGGGCGAGAATGCATTAACGTCATGCGAGAGTGAGTCACCGGCCACTTGATCAACTGCTTGACCAATAGCAGTCTACGGCACCTGTGATTGGCTGCTCCAGAAGCAGATGGGGGAGCGCAGTCATGTGACAGTTTTCGGGCTTGACGCCGGCGTTACAACATATTTCGCTTTCAGAAAAAACGCAAATTAGTCCTCAGACGTAGCCCAAGCCCAGGAGGGCGCTTTAAATTACAGGTAAGGAAGCTGACACCAGAACACTTTTATAATTAATATACTTGTAATTTGTGGTTCATAATGCCGCCCTCCTTTCCTCGTCAGTTTTCTTGTTTCACTTATTTGCGTAACTTCCTCAACGTACAATCAGAACGTTTAAAAAGCAATTTCGAACGGGACGGCGTATTTCGATTAAAAACACACAGGCAATCGGTTGCGAGGCACTCACTGATGGCGTTACGGGACACACGCGTCTCGTTGTGTCTTGGGATTCACCCTCGAGCCCCGCTAGCATTTTATAAGCAGAAAGGCGTAACCGACAAAAACAGGGAAGACTGGAATGGCCATTGCTGGTCTATTAACCAGATTATTATATTAGCCAGCCATACCCAACCGCGGGTGTTGCAACACCTGGGACTCGAACCCGTGACCTGTTGGTTAGATGTCAAACGTAGGCTCCCTACTGCTGGGATTCAGAGGCCGTGGCTCCAAAGAGTTCGGTAAACATTCAGAGGAAAAAATAACAGCCTTTTCTCGTAGTTTCTTTGTTCAATATTTGTCTGTTGGCCAGTAGTCCTTAAAATGTGCTGTGGCACAGAAAATGTCCTACGTCTCATCGACAGGAAAGGCCTTTAACTAACGAGAGGCATTTTCTACGATTTCACCTCACGACATACTTGGCTGCATATAACAGAACTTGTAACAATCATTTCCAACAACTGCTAAGAATCGCAAAGTAGCTTCCATAGATGTGTTTGGTTTTGCAAAATTTCAATAGAATCTGGTGGCATGCAGTTTTACTAGTGAACTTCGGGTTAGTTGGACTAAAATGTTGCTGCTGACACTTATTACCCCGGGTAATTTGACGGCCTTGACGCTTGTGACGGTAGTGCCGGAAATGGTATACCGTAATTAAGACAAGAGCTGCATTTCGGTTGATTTTCTATTATCGCGCATTCACCGGTGTATGTAATCGGTTGTCGATATACCCTGTAGAGCACTATCCCACTCAGAAATGTATTCTTTTTGAGACCAACTATTAGGAGATAATACCTTCGCATTTGGACTCTTGGTGCGAACGCTTGTGAGAATCTTAGACTGAAATTGTCGCGTGGTGTCAAGGGTATTAGAGTTAACCCTAATGGCTGCAATCTTCCAGGCCCGGTTCCTTAGGAAAAGAGAGAGAAGCCATAGGAAGGCCAGGGTGGTAGGAAGAATTTATTCTGCAGAAGAATTGAAGAATAGATAGTAGGAGATATGACTCAGATTGGCAGGCGTCCGACCGTAAGAGCGCGGACTCGTCAACAACGCTGCCTGCCGCCACCCCCTGGTCGGCGGAATCCGGAGTGACAGACACCGCATTAAGGTCTGTATGAGTCGGCCTTTGATTGGCTGTTCCAGAAGCCGGAAGCAGCAAGCGTTCACAAGTGCACTTCGTGTGGAGATAATCACTACAAAACTCCGCGGAAATCTAGGTGCCGACATTCAGTTCGACAAGCGGAATGAGTCGGCGAACGCCACTAGCTCGGGACGGCGACCCATACAATGTATAAAGGTAGCTCAACTGGTCGATGCTTTGATTCGATTCTTCTAAGGCCGAGGGTATGACTGACTGACGAAGACCAGTCGGGAAGGGTTATTCCAATCTTCCTTACTCCTGCCGATAAAACTGCTGTCAGTGAACTATTTAGGGGGCTTTTCTTGCTACAGTCTAAGATCAAGCAAAAGCGGGTGAGAATTCGAACGTCGATTCCAACGAGGTCCATCGTGCTCCCGCAGCTTGGTGAGTGCAGGTACAATGGCTTACGCGTAAAACAGTTTATGGTGACAGTAGACTTATGCAACGTCTACGGCACACTCCTCCCTCACCTACCTGGGTCTCGTATCAAGAAAACGGGAGGTAGGATCGGGCATAGTAGCCGACAA